TTTTTGAAACTTCCGCCACCGCCTTGTGCGGTACTACTGGTATATATTTAAATAGTAATTTATATATCCTTAAACATCGAAGGCAGTTTAGAAGTCAAAACTTCCGACAAGAGTCAGAGAGGAGAAGAGCAGAAGAGACAGAGAGAAGATCAGAGAAGAGAAAGAGTGAGAAGAAAGAAGATGCAGGTGCGCGAAAAGGTAGCCAAGTCGCGAAACACTGTGTTTTTCCAATGATTTTTGGCTCCGGAGGGTCGAAAAGTAGGCTCGCTACAGCGGCGGGTGCGGAGCCATGTGGTCAGATGAGAGGTGAAAAATTGCACACCGTTGAGGTGCGAAGCACATTTCCAAGTCAAAATGTACAAAGCACACCATGCTCGGACCCTTTTTGGAAGTTGACATGTCGAAAAAGTGCACGCCGTTGTGGCGCGAAGCGCGTTTCCAAGTCGAAATGTAAAAACACACCAGGGTCAGAGCACTTTTGGAAGGTGTGATGTCGAAAAAGTACACGCCGTTGTGGCGGGAAGCACATTTCCAAGTCAAAATGTGCAAAGCACACCATTCTAGGACCACTTTTGGAAGTTGACATGTTGAAAAAGTGCACACTGTTGTGGCACGAAGCTCATTTCCAAGATGTTTGAAATTGACGGTCTTGTACCACTTTTTGACGTTCAGATGTCGTTCTGCGTGGCAGGGGCAAGGGATTCGGTACCTTGCCAAAAGTAAGCGAAACGTGAGCGTTTTGAGCAGTTTCAACTACAACCACCACCACACTACACTACAACTACAGCTACAGCTACAACTAGAATACTTGGAACTGTATTACACTACCGTACACTACACTAACTACACAAACGACATTACACTACACTACACTCCACTCCACTACACTCAATTTCACAGCACTCAATTACACGACACTCAAGTACACTACGCTCAATTACACAACACCCAATGACACTACACTCAACTACACTACACGACACTACACGACACTACGCGGCTACACGGCACTACACGACACTACAGCTACAACTACAACTACACTACAATAGACTAATTACACTACACTAAGGTACGCTCCACTACACTACACTACACTACACTACACTACGCTACGCTACGCTACACTACACTACACTCGCCTACACTACACTACACTCGCCTACACTACACTACACTACACTACACTACACTACACTACACTACACTACACCACACTACACTACACTACAGTACACTACACTACACTACACTACACTACACTACACTACACTACACTACACTACACTACACTCGACTCGCCTACACTACATCTACACCCGTTATACTACACCACACTACACTACATTGTGCTACACTACACTAAGTATAACTACTACCGCAACAACAAACTACACTACATTACACTACACCACCACACTACACTAATTACAGCACACTACACTACACTAAACTACACTCCACTACACTTCACTACACCCCACTCCACTACACCACACTCAATTACACTACACTACACTACACTACACTACAGCTACAACTACAACTACAACTACAACTACACTATGCTACGCTACGCTACACTACGCTAGACCATGCCACGCCTTGCCACGCCACGCCACCCCACACCACATCACACTACACTCACTACACCACGCTACGGTACAGTGCACTAACTACAACTACAACTACGCTACTTTTCCCTACACTACACTACACTACACTACACCAGACCGCACTACACTAGGCTACGCGGCATTAGATTACACTGGCTCATTACACTACGCCACAACTACAACTCCACTACACTACAACTACATCCAGCAGTTGTGGGTGAGGTGACCGACCAGGTGACCAGTGCAACCATTGTAACCACTCCCAAAAACACAGCTCCAACCACCTTGCGGTCCTTCAGTTAATTCGCTCTGCCATCCGCGATTCACAACAACCAACCATTTCTATAGGTTTCCTATTTTTGAAACTTCCGCCCCTGCCTTGTGTGGTACTACTGGTATATATTATAATATATTTATAGAAATAGTAATTTTTATATCCTTTAGCTTTTTTAAAGCCTCGTAAACAATGCTTTTAAAGCTCCAAGAGACGCGGTGAACGTAGGGGGTACGAGTGGCTAACGGACGTGGTGACGAACGTAAGGCGAACGAGTGAACGGACGAGTGCACGTGTGAGCGAACGAGTGAACGGACGTGTGCGTACAAGTGGACGGACGTGTGCGCGTACATGCGTGCGTTTGCACGTTCACTGGCCGCGTGCGCGCGCACGTACGAAAATAAGGTCGACTGGAGTCGACCTTATTTCTGTACGTGCAAAGCGCTACAATACTAAATCAATACTAAAGAGGCAGGGTCGTGCAAAAATAAGGTCGACTCAAGTCGACCTTATTTTCGTACGTGCGCGCGCGCGTGGCGAGTGACCGTGCAAATGCACGGATGTACGCTCACACGTTCGCTCGCACGTACGCTCACTCGTACATACATACGTTCGCACGTACGTTCACTCGCACGAATGTCGTTCACACACACGTTCATACCCCCGTTCATGTCACTCGTCACTACACGCACGCTAGATAACAAAAATATTTTTACGAGACTTTAAAAAAAGCTAATATATCCTTAAACATCGAAGGCAGTTTAGAAGTCAAATTCCGACAATATGGACAGATGGAAAAGCAGAGGTGGGAAGAGTCAGAGAGGAGAAGAGCAGAAGAGCAGAAGAGAGAAGATCAGAGAAGAGAAAGAGTGAGAAGAAAGAAGATGCAGGTGCGCGAAAAGGTTGCCAAGTCGCGAAACACTGTGTTTTTCCAATGATTTTTGGCTCCGGAGGGTCGAAAAGTAGGCTCGCTAAAGCGGCGGGTGCGGAGCCATGTGGTCAGATGAGAGACGAAAAATAGCACGCCGTTGTGGTGCGAAGCACATTTCCAAGTCAAAATGTACAAAGCACACCATGCTCGGACCACTTTTGGAAGTTGACATGTCGAAAAAGTGTACACCGTTGTGGCACGAAGCACATTTCCAAGTCAAAAGTGTTAAAATTGACGGTCTCATACGACGTTCCGCGTGGCAGGCGCAAGGGATTCCGTACCTTGGCAAAAGTAAGCAAAACGTGAGGGTTTTGCAGCAGTTTCAACTACGTCACACTACATTCAATGACACTACATTCAATTACACTACCTTCAAGTACATTACACGGACACGACGACTACAACTACAACTACGCTACACCAATTACATGACACTAAACTACACTCCACTACACTACGCTACACTCCACTACACTACACTACACGCAAATACACTACAATACACTACAGCTAGAACTGCAGCTAGAACTACAACTATAACTACATTACATGACACTACACTGCGCGAATTACATTAGACTACGCTAGTTGCATGTCACTACACTACGCTACTTTCCGCTACACTACACTAAGTATCGCTACAGCTACAACTACAACTACATTACACTACACTACACCACATTACACTAATTACATTACACTACACTAAACTACACTACACTACACTCCACTACGCTACACTCCACTACACCACACTACACTGCACTCGATTACACTAAACTACACTTCAATTACAACTACAACTGCAACTACAACCACATAACACTACACTATGCCACGCTACGCTACGCTACGCAACGCTACGCTATGCTACAGTACGCTACACTACAGTACACTAGCTACAGCTACAGCTACAGCTGCAACTACAACTACGCTACTTTACGCTAGACTAGACTAGACTAGACTAGACCAGACTAGACTAGACCAGACTACACTACACTACAATACGCTACACTACACTGCACTACACTACACTACACTGCACTCCACTGCACTGCACTGCACTGTACTGCACTACACTACATTGCACTACACTACACTACACGCCACTGCACTGCACTACACTACACTACACGACACGACACTACACTACACTAACTACAACTACACCTACAGCTACAACTACAGCTACAACTACGCTTCTTTACACTACACTAGACTACACTGCACTACGCTACCCTACATTACACTACACTGCACTCATTACACCACACCACAACTACAACTCCACTACACTACAGCTACATCCAGCAGTTGTGGGTGAGGTGAGTAGGCGACCACTGCAACCATTGTAAACACTCCCAAAAACACAGCTCCAACCACCTTCCAGTCCATCAGTTGATTCGCTCTGCCATCCGTGATTCACAACAGCCAAGCTCTCCTATAGGTCTCCAAGTCTGAAACTTCCGCCACCGCCTTGTGCGGTACTACTGGTACCTAAAGAGACTTCTGTTGATACCATGGGCTTGTGGCTTTCAGATGCTTTGGCTTTGAGATGCTTTGAGATGCTTTGAGATTTGAGACTGGGAGATGCTTTTGCGGTGATACGCGGTTCAAGGTGTTAACATGTTTTACCAGGGGTGGTGCAGGTGGTGCGGGTGGTGCGCCTCGCTGGTGCTGTGTAGTTGCTAAGGTGTTGGGTTCGGTCAGATATTTCGGTAATTTTCAGTAACATTCACTAGCAATTCTCAATGCCTTCGAGTCATCACAGTTTTGACTTCGTTGCTGCCTTTGGCTTCATTTTGCTACATGTTGCTGCTGTGTGATTGTGGGCGGATCAAGACCCATAGAATCTGTTTATTTTGTTACCCATGTGTCTCGTTATCACTGCTCATGATGTTGCAGCCCAAATCCACCATAATCCACCATAATCCACCATAATCCACCATAATCCACCATAATCCACCATAATCCACCATAATCCACCATAATCCACCATAATCCACCATAATACACCATAATACACCACAGCCCAGCAGTACCATCCAGTACCATCCAGTACCCATGTGCTGGAGAGTGACCATATTGGGCTTAATTACTTTGAGCAGCCTTACCCATGTCAGCTTGGCCATGTGATTGTTTTCTTTGAATGCATCTGAGCAAAATCGTGCTGTGCGAGGGCTCAGAGGTAAAAGAGAGGCTGGCAGAGCTGCCAAGTGCTCAGATGTCCAAGACATGTTTGCCATTCCTGGGTTACCCTTGTTGTTGGGATTTTATTTGATTTCTTTGATTTCCAATGTTTTCCTTCCTTCTTGGGATTCCAGGTCCGGAATTCACTTCACAGAACTCTCTCTTCTATGTGATGGGGTCCAAGTGCAAGACAGCGAGGCGATGTTCTCAGCTTTCGATGTCTCGTGCACACGAGAGTGCGTGGCCCTGCTCATTTGTGCGGTGGGCGTGTTTTTCCAAGGTGCTCCTGGTTTCCTACACAGTTCCTCTTCAAAAACCATGGCCTCAGCTTCAGCTACTCCGCATTTTCAGGTGGGAACAACTACTTGCTCAAATCTTCTACACTTACGCACACCAACCAGCCCCCATCAGCCGATTTCACAGAATCCCTAACGAAAAGATGGGTATCAGAGATAAGGGGTTTAGATTGGAAGTGTTCGCCCTTTTGAACTAAGTTTATTTAGGTTTATTGAATCTGATTTAGGTCCTATTTTGGCCTATGCAGGGTCATTTTAGGTGATATATTCTAGGCAAAAGATGAGCAAACATGTTTTCAATCTTCTTTGCTGCTGTTGTCGTTGTTGTTGTCGTTGTCGTTGTTCGTTGTCGTTGTTGTTGTGGTTGTCGTTGTCGTTGTCGTTGTCGTTGTCGTCGTGGTTGTCGTTGTCGTTGTCGTTGTCGTTGTCGTTGTCGTTGTTGTTGTGGTTGTTGTTGTGGTTGTCGTCGTGGTTGTCGTTGTCGTTGTCGTTGTCGTTGTCGTTGTCGTTGTCGTTGTCGTTGTCGTTGTCGTTGTCGTTGTCTTGTTGTTGTTGTTGTTGTTGTTGTTGTTGTTGTTGTTGTTGTTGTTGTTGTTGTTGTTGTTGTTGTTTTTAATAATTATATATGGCAGATTGTCAGATTTTGTGACTGACTCAAAATATTTCAAACGTATTTCACATGCATTTGGTTCTAGTCACTTGGAGCAGCTGAGCAAGAAAATATTGCAGAGAGCTTTTCAAAACCGATGCATTTGTTTTTTCCCCATTCATGTTGGTTTCCAGTTTCCATTTTGTTTCATCATGGCAGAGTGTCAGATGTTGTCACTGCTCCAAAATGTCCACAACATTTCACATTTTTTTTGGATCAAGTCCATGAGCTGAGCTGACCAAGGAAAAAAAAGAGAATTTTTGCGTCATTTTGGCTTTAATTTGATCGCTGCCTTTGGCAATCTTTGGCATGTGATTCGGAAGACATGCAAGAATCAGGTGGGGGTTTGGCTGCGGCGTCGTGTCTGTCAGACAGACGACAACGCAGATGTCCTAGGGTAAATTCAATTGGAGCAGAACCTATGTAGACCAAAATAAGGATAACAATTGTTGTTTTTGATTTTCAGCATAAACTGAAAAGATAATTATGAAGGCGACGTAAGTCGGAAAAACCGACCTGTAACTTTGCCATTCAAAAAGTTTGGTTTTGAGGGCTGAGCACATGTTGAGAAGAGAGGGGTCCTTGTGTTGATGTTCCAGCCGAGCAGACAGAAGCTACTTGACGCCTCTGCTGGAATGCCAAACTTGTGGTGATGGGCAAGAGAAAGCCGACAGTTCAATTGAAATATAAATCAATAGATTGCGAATGCCTCAGACTGTGTTAGCGCAATGCGGTTTTTGCCCGATGCCCTGAGTGTCAAACTGATGAAATTGGACGGGATGCATCTTAAGGTAACCAAATGCCTGGTCATCTAATGAGTGACACCCTTGAATACATTAACAAGATTCCCAGTGTGCCTACCTACCTACTATCTAGCGAAACCACAGCCAAGGGAGCCGGTGGGGAGAGAAGACCTTGTTTGTCTTGACTCTAGTCCGACTTTTTCAATTGACTTCGGAGGGGTTGTCTGCCCTAGAAAGGCCACAAATAAGCACACGCCTCAATCAGCCTAAATGAGACAAAATGAGAACAAATGAGACAAAATGAGGAAACAAAAAAGAAGCACTGCAGGGGTCAAAATTGGAGAACCAATGAATTTAGGCTTTTCTGTTCCCTTTTTTCTGGCAGGGGCCGCGTGCTGGAACCAATCTTGAAAAAAGAGAAAACATATGCAGTTCTACTTTGTTTTTTTTCAAGCTTGGCGGCTTCCGGCGTGCTTTGCTAGAAATTTGTCAGTTTTCGAACCACGACTTGGGTGTGTGGGTGGCTGGATAGTGGGTGGTGGGAGCGGTGGGTGGACGTGTGGGCTTTGGGTGGTGGGTGGTGGTTGATGGATAAGGAACACATACTGCAAGAAAAATCAAGAAAATTTGCCGGCCCAACTAAGAAACGATGTATAGATCCGCCGGGTTCAAAGCAGGAAAACATCAGATTTGGGTTCAGGGCTTTCAAGACAAAGATGAAAAAATGTGGATTGACAAGGATGATAAGACGAAAGTGCCGGTGCATTGATTCACTTGGCAGACAGCAGCCCACACCAGCTTGATCTGACACGCACCACATCAGCCAGTTTTGCAGAAGGCTCCCCAAGAGCCTTGGCCCTAGTATATATATAGATAGATAGATATATATATATATATATCTTCAGACCCTCAATGTCACAGCGTCCTTTGTTTGAACCCCACTCTTCTGGACTTAGTTTCCCGAAGCTGTTGCAGCAGGAGCTGAGCATATTGAGGAAAGTTTTGAAAGCAGTCATCTAATCCACGGATCACCTGCTACAGTGTGACCTTGTGGTTCGCTTGGTTGCTAAATTGGCTGTGGGCTGTCAAAGTTTGCGCCGGTGCATTGATTCACTTGGCAGACAGCAGCCCACACCAGCTTGATCTGACACGCACCACATCAGCCAGTTTTGCAGAAGGCTCCCCAAGAGCCTTGGCCCTAGTATATATATATATATATATCGTATATATATATACATATATATATATATATTATATATATATATCTTCAGACCCTCAATGTCGCAGCGTCCTTTGTGTGAACCCCACTCTTCTGGACTTAGCTTCCCGAAGCTGTTGCAGCAGGAGCTGAGCATATTGAGGAAAGTTTTGAAAGCAATCATCTAATCCACGGATCACCTGCTACAGTGTGACCTTGTGGTTCGCTTGGTTGCTAAATTGGCTGTGGGCTGTCAAAGTTTGTGCCGGTGCATTGATTCACTTGGCAGACAGCAGCCCACACCAGCTTGATCTGACACGCACCACATCAGCCAGTTTTGCAGAAGGCTCCCCAAGAGCCTTGGCCCTAGTATATATATATATATTGTCTCGTGTTCCGTGTTCCTACCCCCCCGTATGTTCGACACTTGGAGGCTATATCGCAAGCCAAGAGGCTATGCATCAATACAAACCAAAAGAACGCGAAGCAAAACCCTGAACGAAACTGATTCCGCCTCCTTCGGGGTGTACTGGGCTGTTCAGACAGCAGAACAATATACCGATGGAGCCGATGGAGCCGATGGAGCCGATGGAGCCGATGGAGCCGATGGAGCCCCTGGAGCCGACGAGGCCGATGAGGCCGACGGAGCCGAGCCCCTGGGGCCGACGAGGCCGGTGGAGCCGATGAGGCCGATGGAGGCGATGGAGCCGCTGCGTGGAGCCGATGAGTCCGATGGAGCCAATGGAGCCGATGAGGCCGACGGAGCCGCTGGAGCTGATGAGGCCGATGGAGCCGCTGGAGCCGATGGAGCCGGTGAGGCCGATGGAGCCGCTGAAGCCGATGAGGCCGATGAGGCCGATGGAGCCGCTGAAGCCGATGAGGCCGACGAGGCCGATGGAGCCGATGAGGCCAATGGAGCCGATGCCGATGGAGCGGCTGGAGCCGATGAGGCCGATGGAACCTGTTCCACCAATTGTGTGCAATTTGTTGGCCATTCACTTCACCAGACCCACCTAAAAGGAACCCACTCCTTCTGTTGGCTATACACGGGATTGCCCTTTTATCGTTTACCTCTAAAAGGGTTCAGAGCATCCAAGGCAGCTCCTATCATTCTTGGTAAAAATCGAACTGCCAAAATATGTTCTTGCATCTCGCTTTGGTTCATCCCAGGTCCCACAATTGACGATCATGGTTCCAGATCTACGCGCCTTCTGGAACGTTTTTTTTAAAATGTTTATACTGATGTCAGAAATGGAAACGTTGATTGCCACAGTATCAACTTTTGGTGGTCTGAATTTACAGCAACAGGCACTAACAGCACCGTCGGTACCTTCAGCCCAGTCGTCCCGGACAGCTAGAATGTGCCCAAACTTAACTGCGCATGAAATATATTCTGGTTGCCGGTTGCACGCTTGCAGGCAAAAGACCGCAATAATCCAAAAATCAAGCACATATGCAATCAACAAGACTGTTTTTGGACCTGTACTTCTACAAGGTCTTTGGCAACGTGAAAGATGAGAATAGAACTGGACAAATGCGCGCGCCCACATAGGAAGAACATTAAACACACAGGAGAAACCCAAACCTTGCTAGACAAACCGCCCACTGCCCGCCCCAAAATCAATTGCAAACCAGTGGGCCACGGATCCTCAATATTGCAAAAACCAAACCCCCAATTGCAAACCCCACACCCTTGGTCGCAAACCTTCTCATTTGCAGTCAAGGACCGGAGGCTGTTTCGTTTTTTTGCTGTATTTCTTGCTGCCGGCCGCAAAAAACTTAATTGCAAACTAAAATCCTTAATTGCAAGCCAAAATCCTTAATTGCAAGCCAAAATTCTTAATTAATTCCAATCCAAAATCCTTAATTGCATAGGGGAGATATGCAATTAAGGAATTAGGGTCTGCAATTAAGGATTTCTCATGTATTTTTGAGGGTCAAACCTACCAAAAACAGCTTTGTGGCACATGAGAAATCCTTAATTGCATACCCTAAGTCCTTAATTGCATACCCCCCTATGCAATTAAGGGTTTTGGTTTGCAATTAAGGCTTTTGGCTTGCAGTTAAGGATTTTGGCTTGTGATGAAGCTTTTTGTGGTTGGCAGCAAAAGAAACATGTGATCCTTTGGTTTCAAATCCTTAATTGCAAAGGGGGGGTTGCAATTAAGGGTTTTGGCTTGCAATTAAGGATTATGGCTTGCAATCACGGATTTCGGCTTGCAATGAAGTATTTTGTGGTTGGCAGCAGAAGAAACATGTGAAATCCTCAATTACAAGCTTCAATTCCTTAATTGCAAAGGGGGGTTAGCAATTAAGGGTTTTGGCTCGCAATGAAAGCTTGTTTGTGTTCTGTGGAACAATGCATGATCAGCCCTTGGTTGCAACCCGAGGTCCTCGATTGCAAAGGGGGTTGCAATTGAGGGCTCGGCTTTGAATTCTTACAGGTCTGCGATTTGGATCAAGGG